GAAGCTGTCTTTTCTCCATTGTATATTCTTGCCTCCTTTATCAAAGATAAGGTGACCATATGTGCGTGGGTTTACCTCTGGGCTTTCTATCCTGTTCCTGTTCCATTGATCTATATTTCTGTTTTTGTGCCAGTACCACACTGTCTTGATTACTGTAGTTTTATAGTATAGTCTGAAGTCAGGGAGCCTGATTCCTCCAGCTCTGTTTTTCTTTCTCAAGATTGCTTTGGCTATTCGGGGTCTTTTGTGCTTCCATACACATTGTGTGAAGTTTTTTGTTCTAGTTCTGTGAAAAATGCCAGTGATAGTTTGATAGGGATTACATTGAATCTGTAGATTGCTTTGGGTAGTAGAGTCATTTTCACAATGTTGATTCTTCCAATCCAAGAACATGGTATATCTCTCCATCTGTTTGTATCATCTTTAATTTCTTTCATCAGTGTCTTATAATTTTCTGCACACACGTCTTTTGTCTCCTTAGGTAGGTTTATTCCTGGGTATTTTATTCCTTTTGTTGCAATGGTAAATGGGAGTGTTTCCTTAATTTCTCTTTCAGATTTTTCATGATTAGTGTATAGGAATGCAAGAGATTTCTGTGCATTTACTTTACCAAATTTATTGATTAGCTCTAGTAGTTTTCTGGTAGCATCTTTAGGATTCTCTATGTATAGTATCATGTCATCTGTAAACAGTGACAGCTTTACTTCTTCTTTTCCCACGTGGACCCCTTTTATTTCTTTTTCTTCTCTGATTGCCATGGGTAAAACTTCCAAAACTATGTTGAAAAATAGTGGTAAGAGTGGACAACCTTGTCTTTTTCCTGATCTTAGTTGAAATGTTTTCAGTTTTTCACCCTTGAGAATGATGTTTGCTGTGGGTTTGTCATATATGGCCTTTATTATGTTGAGGTAAGTTCCCTGCATGCCTACTTTCTGGAGGGTTTTTATCATAAATCGGTGTTGAATTTTGTCAAAAGCTTTTTCTGCATCTATTGAGATGATCATATGGTTTTTATCCTTCAATTTGTTAATATGGTGTATCACATTGATTGATTTGTGTATATTGAAGAATCCTTGTATTCCTGGGATAAACCCCTGTTCATCATGGTGTACAATCCTTTTAATGTGCTGTTGGATTCTGTTTGCTAGTATTTTGTTGAGGATTTTTGCATCTATGTTCATCAGTGATATGGGTCTGTAGTTTTCTTTTTTTTTTTGACATGTTTGGTTTTGGTATCAGGGTGATGGTGGACTCATAGAATGAGTTTGGGAGTGTTATATTATAATATATATATATATAATAATATCTGCTATATTTTGGAAGAGTTTGAGAAGGATAGGTGTTAGCTCTTCTCTAAGTGTTTTATAGAATTCGCCTGTGAAGCCATCTGGTCCTGGGCCTTTGTTTGTTGGAAGATTTTTAATCACAGTTTCAATTTCAGTGCTTGTGATTGGTCTGTTCATATTTTCTATTTCTTCCTGGTTCAGTCTCAGAAGATTGTGCTTTTCTAAGAGTTTGTCCATTTCTTCCAGGTTGTCCATTTTATTGGCATATAGTTACTTGTAGTAATCTCTCATGATCCTTTGTATTTCTGCAGTGTCAGTTGTTATATCTCCTTTTTCACTTCTAATTCTGTTGATTTGAGTCTTTACCTTTTGTTCTTGATGAGTCTGGCTAATGGTTTATCAATTTTGTTTATCTTCTCAAAGAACCAGCTTTTAGTTTTATTGATCTTTGCTACTGTTTCCTTCATTTCTTCTTCATTTATTTCTGATCTGATCTTTATGATTTCTTTCCTTCTGCTAACTTTGGGGTTTTTTTTTTTTTTTGTTCTTCTTTCTTTAATTGCTTTAGGTGTAAGGTTAGGTTGTTTATTTGAGATGTTTCTTGTTTCTTGAGGTAGGATTGTAGTACTATAAACTTCCCTCTTAGAACTGCTTTTGCTGCATCCCATAGGTTTTGGTTCATCATGTTTTCATTGTTATTTGTTTCTAGGTATTTTTTGATTTCCTCTTTGATTTCTTCAGTGATCCCTTGGTTATTTATTTCATAGTGTATTGTTTAGCCTCTATGTGTTTGTATTTTTTAGTTTTTTTCCTTGATATGTAGTCTCATAGGGTTGTGGTCGGAAAAGATACTTGATATGATTTAAATTTTCTTAAATTTACCAAGGCTTGATTTGTGACCCAAGATATGATCTATCCTGGAGAATGTTCCATGAGCACTTGAGAAGAAAGTGTAATCTGTTGTTTTTGGATGGAATGTCCTATAAATATCAATTAACTCCATCTTGTTTAATGTGTCATTTAAAGCTTGTGTTTTTCCTCATTTATTTTCCTTTTGGATGATCTGTCCATTGGTGAAAATGGGGTGTTAAAGTCCCCTACTATGATTGTGTTACTCTCTATTTCCCCTTTTATGGCTGTTAGTATTTGTCTTTTGTATTGAGGTGCTCCTATGTTGCATGCTTTTTAGCATAGTTTTAATCAAAAGACATTTTGCCTTTTGTATTGAGGTGCTCCTATATTGGGTGCATTTTAGCATAGTTTTAATCAAAAGACATTCCATATATTCCCTTAACACTAGGTGGTTTCTGTTTAAAAAACAAAACAAGACCCAGAATTATTTGTATAGACCAAAAAACATATTTGGTATCTGGATTTAAAAAGTTTTTTCAACCAGTCATGCAATGTACACTTAATAGAACTCTGAGACTGTTTGAGAACAAACTAGCAGGAATTGATGAAACATTTTACAGACTAAAAATTCCATTTAAGTCCTTGGTTTTGACCTGAGTGAATAAAGGGATAAGAATGCTGAATGGTCTACCCCCAAGAAGGGGGCCTGAAGCAGGGGAGGTCACCACCAGTGGGGTGTCACTGGCAGTTGACATGGCCTCAGCCACACTTCCTGACTCACCTGCAAGTGTCCCTTGGGCATCACTCAGGCTCTGGGGAAGCTCGCCTCCACCCTACACTCCTGCCTTGGCCATGCCTTCAGCCCAGCAATCCTTCCTCCCTTCCCGGGGAATTAACGCATTCATGACACCTATTAGAAGGGATGGTAGATCTGGAAAAGGAAACCAAAATGTGGTAGAGTGAGCAGAACACAGTTTGGGGAGTCATTGGCAAATCTAGCTTCAAGTCTGGGTTCTAATATGCTTTGGCTGTGAGCCTTTGAGTAAATCATTTAGCTTCTTGAGCCCAGTTACTTTATCTGTAAAACGGTGCTTCCATTTTTCATAATCAGATATTTATTGAGCACTTAGTAAGTACCAGGCATTGTTCTAGGTACCCAGTGTGCCACAGAAGGGGGTTAGAGGATGTGGGTAAAGGGTGTGGGTACAGAGTCCAGTTTTAAAAATAGGTCAGACAGAGGCTCACTGAGAAGGTGACTTATGAGTGAACATTTGAAGGAAGTGAGGGAGTGAGCCTTGAGGGCATCTGGGGGGAGAATGTTCCACGCAGAGAAGTAGCTAGTGCAAAGGCCCTGAGGTAGGAGGGAGCCTGTTGTGCTGGAAGAACAGTGGGGAGACCAGTGTGACTGAAGCTGGTGAGGAAAGCAGACAATAGTGCAGAGGGAAACAAGAGGGAGCTAAACTGTGTGCAGTTTTGTGGGTCACGGTGAGGACTTGGATTTTCACTGTGAGAGAGGATGGGAAGTCCTTGGAGGGTCATGAGCCAAGGACTTATGTTTTGGAAGGGTCACTCTGGCTGCTGTGTTGAGGATAGACTGTAGGTGGGCAGCGGTGTGAAGCAGGGACACAGGTTAGGAGGCTATTGCCTCAGGCGAGAGAGGATGGTGGTTTGGACCAAGGCATAGCTGTGGAGGTGGCTGGATTCTGGACATATCTTGAAAGCAGAACAAACAGAGTTTGCTGATGGATTGGATTGAGCATGAGAGAAAGAAAATAGTTAAGGAGACCTCTGAGGGTTTTGGTATGAACAATTGGAAGAATTGTGTTGCCATTAATGGAGATGGGAAAGCTGGGGGAGGAACAGATTTGGGGTCGGGGGGAGATGGAGAATTGAGTGATAATGATAATATCTGCCCTGCCTCCCTCACGGGATTAAATGTGATGATTCATGGGTAATCTACCCTCCCAATATGCCTTACAGTACCTAGTATTCAAAGACTCTCTCCCTTCCTATTCAGAGACCGTCTGTTCTATGGAGAGTTGCCTCTCTTCCACTCTCAGGTGGTTGCAGGTGGTGGTTGGGCTCCTAGCACATGGACTCTTGGATCTGACAAGTATTATCTGAGCTATATTTAGGTGGATATTTTAGGATGGGTCTTCACAAACGTGACTCAAGTATGACTTAGCAGTAGATACCTTTATTTCTCCCTAGCAGAATATTGTTTCTAATTTTTCTTTTATATAGCAACTGATGTTGCCATGCAGATCCCTTGGTTGCTATGAGATGGTAACAATACTCTGCCCCGCGATTGGTGGGGGCCTCCTAAGCGGTGTGGTTCTCGCTTGGGTGACTGACACTGAGCTGTTACTATGGTGAACTTTACAATTTCCTTTGATTGGTGCATTTTAGAAATAGGTCATCAGTGGAATTCATTACATTTTGTAAGTAAAAATGAAAAATAAGTATCATAACTTTTCCCCGTCTCCAACATGAAGGAAACGTGACACTTAATGACATAATGAATCGCTGTTGGATGACTTAGGAATCTTTTGAGAACCGAAGAGGGATGATAATCCCGTGCTAAATTTTGGTGGGAAATATTTTCCTTCCTGCTTTGAGTTGATTATTCAGAGTTAGGGACATCAGGCTGACCAGAGTTGGGGTGGGGTTGGGGAGATGTGCGTGGATTGAAATGTAAACTCCCTTCTTTCTGTGGGAATAAAGGTGATGCTGGGGGCCTGAGTGTGGAGGGCAGGAGGGATGTGGGCTTCAGGCAGTGCTGATTAATGCTGCATCTCAGGACCAAGTATTCTCGTGGTCTCAGGAGGGTGCTAAGACTTGGGTCATCAGACTCACCTCCAGAGAGGAAAGCCACTGAGTGCTCCTGGCTGGACATGGCTTGACACAGGGGTCTGAGAGTCCAAGCAGGGCTTGTGCTATAGCTGAATCCTCCTCACTCCCATTCCCTCCCCAGCTTCACTCAGGTGGGTAGGCAGGTCCTGAAGGTTCAGTCTTCTGCTCGTCTTTGCCCTCAACAAATGGGAAAAGAGGGTAGAGGAATGAGTTTTAACCTTTCTGATTTTGTAACCTAACTTCCTCTCTACAAGAAAAAGTGGGAGAAAGCTGGAAGAACCTGGGAGGAAGGATGAATTATTTTAAGTACATCTGATCTACCTTTTTCCAACACTTGACTAACAGGTCCTGTTTGGAGTGATGGGTGGGGGAGTGGGGGTGGAGATGGGAATGAGGCTATGTGGGAAGGAGAGAGTCAGGGAGCCCTCAAAGAGAACATATAACAGATTAGGGTGCTAGGGCTAATGTGTGACACCCAGAGCTGATAATTTCTAACACCTCCTTCCTACATGACAAAATTATTTTTAGTAATAATCACACAATGAAACCAATAATCATAGTCATTAAAGAAATTTTACTTTATGAAACTTTGTGCCATATCAATTAAAAAAATAAAATAAACATCACAATCTAAAAAAGGAAGAGTTATGAAGTAATATTTTCAATTTCATTAATGTATTTTTGAAGAAAGAGATGAAAACTTAGACCTACCTACTGGTCTTTTACAGTAATGAATAATAATGTTACAGTGTCTGTTTTTGCAATTAACTTCTGCAAATTTGTCAGTGACGTTGTCAAACTTGTTTTTCTTCCCATATTCATGATGTGTCGATCCACCTTTGATCAAAGAATACTTTTCATTAGAAATTTTAATTTTGGAAGGTTTCTTTCACATGAACAACAGTTTAAATAAATAGGAAGTCTTCAACATAAGGCCACATTTGGGAGAAATGCATAAAAATCCCATTTCACAGTAAACCCCAGAAACTTTAAACACAATAAAAACTCCAAGTGGTCAAAGAGAATGACAGAATTGAAGTAACTCAAGTTCTGTTTGTCTTTACAATCACTGTGCTATCGTTATGTATTGTGAATCAATTGTTTGAACGCAGGAATTTGAAGGACACACAGGCTGGACACTTGTGGCCAAAGCAAGCTTTCTTATGTACTCACTCTCAAGATAAATGCACAGAGTTAATTCTCTGGATCAACTTCCATGTAGAATATGTTTACTAAAGGAAAAGCAATAAAAAATGTGCTAAACTGAAGCTTACATTTATGTTGTTAAAACTCAAGAGCAATTGTTTGGAAACTAGACCAACAAAAGACTTTTTTTTGGTGAAGAGAGAGCAGTTTATTACTGACATTGTTTAGAATTGCTTGCCATGGTGATAATAGAAAGCAGACTGGCTTTTTAGCTGGTTTTATTGTTGTTTTTTAAGTGTTCTCCAGGCCATGAACCCCTGGATGGGCCTCTGGGGTGGACCACTCCACCCGCCCCGGCACTGCACTGAAGTAGAATCGCTCTGATTGTGTCTTGCTGGAGCCAAAGCACAGTAAAAGGTGATGATGCAGGGAACTGAAGGAATGACAGACCCTGAGAGGCTGTTGGTCAGCAAATATCTGGTAAATTCTCTGACCCTGATACAACCAAATGGATTTTTTTTCACTTTTTACTCTCATAATAAAAGGAAAAAACAATCAAGCATCATAGCTTAAGTATCCTTCTTTCTCATAAAAACATTAGTGATTCCTGCAGCTTTGCGTGTTATTCATATAGCTCTTGTGTAGCCTGACATTTTCCCCTGAACCTTTTGCTATTTTATTCTATTCTGGGCCATTGTTTCTGACGCCTAATTTCACTGTGCACTGAACTCAGCACTGAATTTATTTTTACTAATAAAACATGTGACATGCTTTGCTGCGTCTTCAGAACTGGTTTAGTCATGGGGCAAAGGCATTGGACGTGTGAAGTTGCAGGAACCATTACGAGGGCTAGAATGATTGGTAAGGGAAGGAGGAAGAAAAAAATAGCAGAAGTCACGACTTAACCTTCTAGGTTTGCTATGTATGACACTCCCTTTTTTTCCTGTCACCGCATCAGACATATATTTAGATCCACCCTTATATTGATAGATGGTTTCCTGGGTAGGGCAATTTAAAAGTGCTCATGCCTGAACTTCTACCATTAGTTCTGTATATTCCTTTAGGTTAAATATTGTTTGCTCTCCACGGGCCTCTGGAAAGCAGCTACCTCTGGAGTGTAGGTACCTCTGGGAGGAGTAACACATCAAGTCTCTAACACTTTAGTATAAATGAATGTATTTGATTGCTCCTTCTGTTACCTGATTAGCAGGATATGCACCCTGGGTAACTAGAAAGTCATGGAGACACTTCTCAACTCAGCCCTGACAGCCTGGAATGTGTACGTTTGCTATAAGGGATTCCAAGTCCCTCTCTGAGAGTAAACAACAGAAAAAGGCCCACCCTGTTGATAAGAGGTCTGAAGGAACTTCATATGTAAAGAATAACATGTTTTCATTTCATTTCTCTCCCAAGAACCAGAACATCCTCCTAGCCTACAACACAGCCCCCCACGTTGCCCCAGGAGTGCTGGAGGCTTCGTGCCATCATTTGTGTCCCATTTTTATTCTACTCGCATATGTCTGGGGAGAGGGCCCTCTGAGATTTCTTCTTGGCTCTGCTTCAGGCTCCATAATAGCAATGGATCCGCGCTTCTTAATCCAGGGAAGGCAGGTGGCAGCAAGCCAAAATGGCCTCCATGGAGTGCGTTTGCAGGAGTGGCACTTTCAGCATGCATTAAAAAATCAGCAGCCGGGCAGGACAAAAGCCCAGACTGACAGCGTGCCCCTAAGAAGGGTGCCTGCACCAAGGTTTAAAAAAGAAAGAAAGAAAAGCATTTTCCTTTCTATGGAATTGAGTTAATGTTCTGTGCCAGCTTTTGTTCCTAGAAGCATCGTGTGTGTGTGTGTGTGCGCGCGCACAAGCCTGTGGACATGCGTGTGACTAGTTGCTCACACAGCTGCTACCTGAAAAATCACAGGCAAGTTGTAGAGATGATGCTAGAAAGTGTTAAGAAGGCAGTTGAGAGGATGCCCATCAAGGTTACCAAGAACAAATGAGGTGGGGCTTCCCTGGTGGCACAGTGGTTAAGAATCTGCCTGCCAATGCAGGGGACATGGGTTCGAGCCCTGGTCCGGGAAGGTCCCACATGCCGCGGAGCAACTAAGTCCGTGCGCCCCAACTACTGAGCCTGCACTCTAGAGCCCACAAGCCACAACTACTGAGCCCACGTGGGACATCTATTGAAGCCCACATGCCTAGAGCCCATGCTCTGCCACAAGAGAAGCCACTGCAACAAGAAGCCCGTGCACCACAACGAAGGGTAGCCCCTGCTCACCGCAACTCGAGAAAGCCCATGAGCAGCAACGAAGACCCAACGCAGCAAACAATAAATTAAAAAAAAAAAGAACAAATGAGGTGACCTTGACTTTGTTAATACTTTGTCTCCTCTCAAGGTTTAAAAATATATTTATGTCAATATATAACCCCAAAATGTTCATTAATTGCCTATTTGGGTGGTTCTGTTCATAATATGTATTTATCTCAAACATAAGTTGTTAATAGAAAGTATGAAAACTGCTCTAGATGTGGAATAGGGTCCATTATTTTAGGGTTTAGAACCACATATATAAATGTGGTACCACACAAATTCACACTCTTTTTCATGAGCCATGGTCCTTCACTATACATAGGTATTTTCCCAGGAATGTGTGTATAAGATAAATATTTTCAAATGAAATCATATTTTGCTTGCTCTAAAAAATGAAAATTCCTGTGACAAAACTTTCCTTTCTGAAAAGTATGAGTTAGGAATGAGAAGGTCATTGGCCTGGTCATTTTCCCTCTGTGGGCTCGATTTTCTCATCTACAAAATCAGAGGTGAGGGCAATGAATGATTTCTAAGACTCCATCACAGCTTTATCCTTCTGTGTTCCAAAACTGTTTTTAGTGTAAACAATCACCCCATAATTTGTCCATCATCTTTTTAAATCCAGAATTTTGACTCTGGGCTGCCTTACTTAAGGTTCACCTGAACTGGTACTAACAGGTTGTCTGAATTCGTTATTCCTTTCCATTATTCTTTTGGGATGAAGTGGAATGAGTCATAAGTGAGGAGGTTATAAAAGCACACACAGATCAACAGGAAGACAGAGACAGGAACGGGTAGCAAGACACGTCAGCATTTTCCCCCAGACAGCTTGAAAGCAAAAGCAGAGGCCCCATTGTTTGCTCACAGCTTTTGTACACTGACCTGTCAGAGTGGGACACCCGGCCACAGAGCATAGCCAGGAGCATTTCGTGGAAGCCGGCAGGCCTCAAATGCAAGCAGCTGCCCTGCGGGTGTCTGCAGGAGAGGAAAGTCTGGGAACTGTATGAATTACAGGAAGTGAGTCTTAGGTAGGACTCCTCCCACCTTTACCCTATTTGACAATTTCTTGAAATTCTCTCCATACCAAAAATGCCTTGAAAGAGGTTTTTTTTTCTTAGTATTTCCAGTGTGGGAAATTAAAACCCTCTTCCTTGGTGATAGTAAAACTTCAGTAATTTTGCACCATTGATGGCTTTTTGGTGATATAAATCCATTCTTCTGGAAATGGCCTATTGGCTAAGAATATTTATTAACATATTTTGAAGGAAATTGACAGTGAAATATGATCTGCCTCTAGATCATCACACAAATTACTCAATTTGTAGATATATAACCACACCATTTACAGAAAAGAATAACTTGATTTACCTTAACAGCCATTCTCTGAGCACCTATTCTTTGTCCAGTAGTGTGCTAGGGGTGAAGCGATCAAACCTTGCTTGCTGTATTTTAATATTCCTGGATGCCCTCCACCTATGGACCGAATGTTTATGTTCCCCATAATTCATATGTTGAAAGCCTATCCCCACAATGTGATAGTATTAGAAGGTGGGGCCTTTGGGGGGTAATTAGAATTAGATGAGGTCATATGGATGGAGCCCTCAGGAATGGGATTAGTGCCTTTGTAACAGTCATGAGAGAGCTTGCCTCCTCTCTCTGCTCACCACCATGTGAGGTTACAAGGAAAAGATGACAGTCTGCAATCCAGAAGAGGACCCTCACCAGGACCTGACCATGCCAGCATCCTGATGTCAGACTTCCAGGCTTCAGAACTGTGAGAAATAAATTTCTACTGTTTATAAGCATCCTAGTCTATATACTTAGTTATAGCAGCCTTAATTAAGACACTCTCTGTTAATATTTTCCAGAACTACATATTTATCTATTTTTCCTACCTCGGATTTTGTGATGTGCAATAGCACATCAATAAATTCTAGTTTATCTTTGGTTGGTTACAAAGAAGCAACCTTGACAAAATTCTCTGTTCTGCATTTTGACTGTATGCCAGTCAGTTATTTTCTAGTAATGGTTGTTTTCTAATATAGTCTTCAATTCATAGTATGCAGCTGGATTAGTTGAACACTACTGGCTTGTCTATCGGATAGTTTTAGCACAATTATTATGGCAGCTGCTGTCATCACAGAAAGGGGAGTAGAGTTTACTCTCCCATTGCTGACTGTATTTATACATAATATCAAAAGGCTGTTTTTTGTAAAATCATTTTAAAAAACCACAACCCTCTTATAAATTGTTTTCACAAACTCTTATGTCATCAGAAAACATACTTTGGTTATATTTTACCTACATAATCTTGGCTGAATGGATGCAGGTAAATACCAGAAAGGCAATCTAACCTGGAGTAGGATATACTCCTGAAAGCACA